CAGTTCAGCTGGCCATCTGCCACCTCCACTCCAGAAACCTGGGCCTCAACAGAAAGGTGGACTGTAAATATGGAGCCACCTTCAGTCTCAGAAGTGTCCGAATATATTTCTCTACTCAAGCATCATCGTGCTACTGACGACCTTTCCCTGCTCTTTTCAGACAATGCCTGTCTAGCCTGTTTGGGTCTATCTGGGAGAAGTAGGCCGTCCCAGAGAACTGGGGTGAATCGATAGTGGTGCCCACTTTCAAAAAGGGTGCTCGCAGTGAACGTAGTAACAACAGATGTGTTAGTTTGACGCATGTTGTGACAAGGCTTCTGGCGTCACTGATTCTTCAGTGGCATGCGAAACCTTCACTCGTGAGAATCAAGCGGGATTTCGACCAGGTAGATGCTGTGTTGACCACATCTTCACACTCCGTCAGGTGTTAGAGCAACGCCACATGGACAGATGACCCACAATCCTGGTATTTCTTGACTTCAAGGGTGCGTTTGATTCTGTTGATCGATCAGTACTGTTAACTACACTTGCTCAGCAGGGTATGCCCCAGAAGTTTGTAAACATAATCCGGTCCCTATATTCACATACTTTTGGGTGAGTGAGTGTATGGTGACCCGACCTAAAGCTGCCACCTTGACGTGGTGGTCGGGCTTCCGTGCTGCAATGATCCCGCGGCCTACACTGGCTGGAACTTCCTTCCACAAGGTACAACCAAAGGGTCAAAGGGGAGCAGCGAGAACCCGCACTACGAGCAATCGTGGTACGGGGCGGTCTGAGGGTAAAGTCGTACTGTCTGCGACAGGAGTGTGAAGGCAGTAAGGTGTTTCCCCCAGGCGACCAGCATGTCCATATTTATGGAAGCAGCGATGCTGCCTTCCCCCGAGGAAGGACGGGTTAGAAAAGGTCGGCCCCAAAAACCGCACACTCCGATCGCCCAACGGTTGACCGTGACCGCCGGCGCATTATCCGATACGGTCGAAATACCTTTAAGGCCAAAGAGCCCGGTGCTGCTCAAAAGGCACCTGCTGTGTGCAGCCGCATCACGTATGAGACAGTAATGCCTTATTCCCTGCGCCCTCGGGTTAGGCCAACCCC